TATGAACATCCAAGGTATTATCCTAATCTAGCATACAAAACAATGGATATAACAAGATAGAATACATACCTTTTGTTAGTGCTTGTCTTCATGAAGCTTGAGTGCTTAGTGCCCCAAGTGTGACACCTCAAATGGTTCACACAACACCATAAGCACTTGGAATAACTTAGAGAGAATTCTACACTTCATGAAATCAGCTAGCCCTTTCTTGGCTATCTCTAGTGCCGATTTTGTCAAGAATAATATCTTTATATAGTGTTACAATTAGGGCAAACCCTAATTGTCATGACTTTCCATTTCCTTGGATCCATGGGTTCAAATACACCATGGAGCATCCATGGAGCATCATATGGGTTTTGGCCCAACTAGATAATCCATGGAGCATTAGCCCACTATACAAGTATGGATGATTTACACAATCAACCCATATATTTAACTAGTCTTCTTTTGATCACTTAATTAATCCTAGATTAATTCTTGATCAATACTAATTAAAGTATCTTATTATTCTTATTATTAATATACTAGAACTTATAATATATTAATAACCATAAGTGTCTTATTTCTCTAATTATAGTCTATCCAAGTGCATGATGCCATGCAACCCAAATGGACCATGTCGGGTCGGGTCAAGTCTTACCAATTATAGTTATGGACTTAGACATTAATCCAACATCATAATCATAATACAAAACATGGCAAATCCCAAGATCATAAAATAAATCTTCCGTCAGTGTGTATAGATCATGCCGGCGCCTTCCCACGGTCCTCGCTAGTACCCGAAACACATAACACAACAATTGTAAGCATAATTCTTAGTGAGTTCCCCAAAATACTACTTACACACATACGCCTTTCCAAGCCATGACCTTCCGGTCCATGTGTCTCAGGGGACTTCCATCCCAACCCGGTAAACCTTCCAGTCCTACCTGTATCGACCTTCCGGTCCATGACTCCCTGACCTTCCGGTCCACGTCATAATGCCTTCCGGCCCGTAATGTAATGCCTTCCGGCCCATAACAAGCATAACATACATAGCACATACAAAACGGTTAACTTAATCACATACAATGCATACATCTTATAAAATATCCGACCTTCCGGTCACACATAGATACCCTTCCAGGTACAGTATAGTGAGAAGACTCACCTCGTAGGAAGTCTAGAATCTCATGTGCTCGATATCTCTGAATCTCGAAACGACGACCTAACCCCGCCTATTCACAACGAATAATCATTCCAATTAATATACGCTTCCAAGACTAAGCTACACCCTTTTTTCACTATCCCACAGAGGGGTAAAAGACCATTTCACCCCTCTTTGACTCAAAAGTCCACATGTTGACCCAAAACCCTAAAAGTCAACAAAAGTCAACAGCAAGCAGTACGCGGGGCGTACCAGCTCCTGTACGCAGGGCGTACTCTCGCATTCTAGAAACGGGGAACGCGTCCCACTACGCGGCGCGTACTAGGATTACGCCCAGCGTACATCCCAATTTCTCACTTCCATATTCTAATGTCTTAAACGATTAAGACATAACCCCATATTCCATATCTGGCCAAAATAATACTTCTTAGACCATAAAGTCGAAACCTTTAAGCCTTGGTATGGCTAAAATGTTCCCTACCTTCTAACACCTTTCCTTTCCCTTCCAAGAGTCTAGATCTCATGCATGGCTCAACATCCACGTCCAAGATTGCATTTTTATGAACATACAACTCATATAGTCCTGGAATGTGATAGATCTAGGCCAATGGAGACTACTTGCTCATAAAGTCTCCATCTTGGGACCAAAAACCCTAGAAATTGGTCCAAGAAGCACACCATATAAACTACAAGGCAAGATCTGAACTTTTTACCTCAGGAAGAAGCTCCAACCTTTGTAGTCCTCAGATCTACACTTGTCCACCAACTTATAGCCTCCACAATGGACCCCTCTTCTCTTTTACTACCTTTAAATGACACTTTGAAGCTTAGAACACTCACACCCAAGCTAAAAACGAAGGAAATGCTCTCTTAGGGTTTCTTTCTGAAGGATGGTGACTGAGGGACAAGACCATCTCATTCCTTTTATAGCCCTCAAGTCATATTAGGGTTTTGAGTCTGGACCGGTTACACCCGACGTAACCTTAGGTACGCCCAGCGTACCCGGGTGACATCGCATTCCAAATAAGCGCGCGAGTACGCGCAACGTACTCTTTGTACGCCCAGCGTACTCACTCAACACAAAGGGCCAAAATGACATTATGGAAAAGGTGAAGGGTTAAATGGTCGTACCTGAATTTCGGGCTATTACAGGTTAACAAGGGTTGAAAACAAATACAACCTGAAATAAATGAATAAGGGCAATGTTTTTTTTTATGGAAGAAGGTGATCCAAGGGTGGTGGCGACTATTGGTGGGTGAACATAAATATGTTCATTATCATATGATTTCTTAGTTAGGCTATTACTACAAGGAGAAAGAGAAATTTTTATGTGTTGAAATGCCCATTTGTTAATGAATTTCTTCAGTTCTTGAGCCCAAATAACTATGAAATTGTTATTTTCACAGCTGGAATGGAGGAATATACTTTGTTGGTTTTGAATACATTGGATTGAAGGGGTTTGATTTCACACCGTCTGTACTAGAATTGATGTAAGGAATTCAAGGGGGGTTTGTCAAAAATAATTATTGTATCTACTATTTAGGGTGGGATTTGAAGCAGACGATGATTGTTGACGACAACCCAAATTCCAACAATTTTTAGTCGGAAAACACAATCCCCATTAGATAAGGGAAGTGGCCTCGAGGATCGAGGAGGTCCGTTGTGTAAGAGAGATAGTAAGGGTAAGGTAGGGGTATTATTTATTTTTTGTTCTTTTTTAATTGCTGCAATAAAAAGAAAACATAAAAAGAAAATAAAAATGGTAATTAAGTCATTTTATATGGCGATGGACCAACTATGATAGGAATTAAAACCATAGAGATCTTCCATGAGATAGAAAAAAGTTAGGGACAAAACTTGATATTTTGGGAAATTATAGGGACAATTTATAAAGATATGTCTTTTTATTATAAACAAAGAAAATATAGTTGTTGCTAATTTTTAGAAATAAAAATTAAACTAAGTACTATCTTAGTTCTTGTTGACTACTTCAAACTATCTACGTTCCTTTTATGCATCATTGTGAGTGTTAGGATAAGATGCACTATGTAAGTGTTCCTCTTATGTTCTTTAACCTAACTGCCACATAACCTCAATACCTAAATTAGTAACAACTATTGACTAACACACATCTATAAGAGTGAAAAGTTAACCTTGAATGTCAATTTAAATTGAGGATGAGTAAAGAGTGATTATATATTTAAACTCTCATTCAAAGTTTACTTTTCACTATCTATTGATGTATGTTAGCTAATAGTTGTTTCCAGATAAGCAATGGAGGTTAAAGAACATAAGATGGACACCAATATCATAGGAACATCCATATAGTGCATTTCACTATGACATCCAAAATGATGCACATGAGGAACATAGAAAGTTTGAAGTTGTTAGCAATAAATAGTGAAATACTTACTCCACCCATCCATTGCTATGAATTAAAGATAATTGCATTTTCTTTGTTTATTATATAATAAGATGTGTTACGTTTATAAATGAATTGTAGTAATTATATATATATATATATATATATATATATATATATATATATATATATATATATGTATATTCAAAAATAATATTTAGAAAAATCCTAATAATTTGGTTATTGGTTAAAAACAAAATAATATTTAGAAATTCCAAATAGTCTGACAAAAACAATGAAAAAAAAAACGGGATGCCGATTAAATCTACTAAAGTGACAAAATAAGGGTTTTCTAAACTCTTAATCGGTATTATATGGTGTTGTATAAATAAAATTAAAGAAATCAACATCCTCCTATTTTTTCTTTGTATTCTTTCTATACAGTTAAGATTGTGACACTTGTTATATTTTATAAAATTAATAGATTTTTATTATATTTATTAGTTGTGAAACTCATATATTATACGGGTTAATTAAAACATAATGTTAAATAGGAGCGATTAAATGAGAAGTTTATTTGAATTCGAAATATGAAAATAAGTGAAAATTATGAAAAAAAAACATACAAAAAATAAATTAATTAAGTTAGACCCGTGTACTAAATGAGTTATTATAATAAAATGTTAAATACAAATGTTTAAAATGTAAATTTATTTGAAATTGAAATTGAAATTTTAAATTTGAAATTTGAAATTAATAGTTATTATAGTAGGTTTAATTTATGAAAATTAAATTAATGATATAGTGGAAATGAATAATAAAATAATTGACAAGTGGAAAATAAATATATTTTAAAATTATGACAAAAATGATATATAGCAAATTAAATGAGAGGATGACAAGTGACAATAACATTTCATTTATTAAGTAAGATTGTAACTTTATTTCTTTATACATCTTCCTACATATTTAAGATCGTGATATTTATCATATTTAATAAAATTAATAAATTTATATTATAGTTGTTGTAATCTAAAAATAATAAAAGGATGGATAAAAAGAAAAACTAAAACAATATTAAATTTTCATAAAAAAATTTTGTGATTTTTTTTTTATAAGTTTAACTAAATTATGAAAACTTTATTAAATTTTATGAAGATTTCCATAAATATATAAAACCGAACAAAGTTTATACCCTACGGTCCTTTAACGGCTTGACCCGATAATTTTTCCATGGAAGAACATGTCAGGGAAATAATGTGATAATATATTTTTAATATTTTCTCGCAAACTTCCCCAAATTTCCCTTGTAAAATCGAAAATAGTTCTCAAAAATCCAGGGAACAATACGAAATGGTTTATGAGCTCGGATAAAGAATTGTAAAAATCGTTCGATCTTATCAACTTTCTGTGTTGAAATTTTAGGGTTTATGAGTGAATGCTGTTGAAGAGGCGTTTTTAGTTCGAGTTGGTGCCGGAGACAAAGGAATTATGTCGTTCGGAGCTTCGACAATGTCGAACAACATGCAATTAGCATATAGTGGTGATGGAGCATCTATGTATACCTCGATTAGCCGACCTACTTCGTCGCCGTCACCTTCCCCAACGCCTACTTACAACAACCCTAACGGATCCGGCGGTGGAGCTAGAACTTCCGGTGAAAATCATTCTATGGCTTTGGTGTCGGTAGGGCTGGACGCAAGCGGTGGCGAAGTAGCGAAGCGGAAGAGAGGGAGGCCGAGGAAGTATGCCCCCGACGTCTCTGTAACACCGGTGGCGAGGTTACCGCCTGCTGAAGCGGCTGCCCAAGGTAGTGGTTTTTCGTCTCCGGCGTTGTCTTCAGGGAAGAAGCCGAGGGGTAGACCACCTGGTTCGTTGAATAAGCAGCCTGCTGCTGCTTCAGGTACACTATATTCCCCCATTTCATTAATTTATTCATCGTTTTTACCCCATTTCACTTTTTATATACTTTTCAGCTTTTTCCATCATCTATAATTGATTAATCAATTAGCTGAATATAATAAGATTAGCATTCTATCTTGGGATCGCCACTTGCCAGTTCATCTTTACTCAATTCGTTATATCATAATCCATGTGCATCATTTAAAAACATACAAAACATGAAATTTCTTAAGATTTTTTCCACATTTCATTCAAACATAAGCTCTTAGATTAATATGTAAGTATGTAAGTATGCAACTGAGGATAATTTGGTCATTTCATCTCTTAGGATTAGCTTACATGGTAAAAACCATTTTCAGGTTCACCAGGAGTGGGGTTCATGCCACATATCCTTGATGTTAAAGCTGGAGAGGTGCAATCATGATTCTTTTTATTATTCTGAAAAGGTTTATCCACAATTTTTTATTTACCAAAATTCATAATATTTTTTTATATAAATGCAGGATGTGTTGGGAAAATTGATGTGGTTTTCTCAAAACAGCAGTCGAGCATTGTGCATTCTATCAGCTAATGGTGCCATATCTAATGTTACACTTCAGCAGTCTGCAACATCTGGTGGAACTGTCACATACGAGGTTTTTTCTTCAATTCTTTATTTTTTTTTATGTATAAAAAGTATTAATTTATTTATAAAAAATACAGGGACGATTTGAGATCTTATCTCTTTGTGGTTCATTTATGGTTTGTGAGAGTGATGGGCAAAGAAGCAGGACTGGTGGTTTAAGCGTGTCACTTTCAGGTCCAGATGGCCGTGTTTTAGGTGGTAATGTGGCTGGCCTTCTCACTGCTGCATCACCCGTTCAGGTTTTTTTTTTTCTTTCCATAAATATGGATGGAATGGAATCAACCATTCCATTCCTGTTTCCTGATTCCTGATTCCAAATCATAAGAAACTTTTTTTCTTCTTCGTAACTTTTACAGATGATTGTTGGTAGCTTTGTTCCGGCAAGTCAGAAACAAAGAAAAGAAAAGGCAGAAGTGGTCAACACTCCGGTCAATGTGGGGACCACGAGTGGATCTTCAGGTGGAGGGATCGGGAGCCCGCTAGTCCACAGTAACAACAGTAATCCACAAGGTATGGCTAATATGCCTTGGAGGTAACTAAATCCCATTTGTTTGTGTTGTAAGCAACATAACATAACTCTCTATTAGGAAGGAACCTTGTTTTTTTTTTTTTGGTTAAGTTTCTAAATTAGTGTGTAAGGGTAGTTGTATGCCAACAAATGTGATGATGGGTTAATTATGAGTTGTTGGTTTTATTGAGAATGTTAATAATATTGTGCGTATTTTTAGGATTTTTTATATGACATCTGGTTTTGTTGAAAATGTTATTTATTTATTTTTTTAAGTGTATATGTCGATATTGAAGCTTTTGGAAGTAGGTTCATGACTTGTTTTGGTTAGCTTGACTAACAAATATGGGTTGAATTCTTGTAAATGTTTTAAATAAAACTTGTTACCTTTCAAAAGAAAGTAACTAAGGTATATATAGAATATAAATTTTCTTTATAATGTCCTAGGGTTGACAATTGTGTTGGGTTCGGGTTGGTGAGCTGACGGCTTAGAATGCATCAACCCATATACGACCTGTATAATCATTCGTGTCGTGGGTTGGGTGGTTGGAAATATCAATCTGGACACAACCCATCTAATCTGTTTAATTTTATGGGTTTACGGATTCATGGGTCGTAGTCAGGTTGGTGGGTTAACCCATGAACCCATATATTATTTGCATAATAGTGATGACTAGTTGATCTGATTTATGGCACATAGTTAAAGGGGTGAACATTTGGATCTCTGGATCGGACTGGATCTGGACCGACGTTAACAGGTCTGGTTTTAGGTCCACTAATTTCTCTCAAACTGGTCTGGTCCGAAAGCTGGTATGGTCTAGTTCGATTAAAATGCATATCCCTAGATAATACGCATAGGCTGATAGGGTAGCATAACTTATATCTAATGTATTATTAATTGGGTTGGTGGGTTGACCTGTGAAACCAATTACTAAACCGAACACCACCCGTTTATTTCGCGGGTTGGCAGTTTGATGAATTAGAAATCTCAACCAAAATCTGTTTATTTTTATGTTGTATCGTGTCGCGGGTCGTATCAAGAATTGCGACCCTTAGTGTCCATTGACTCTATTTCCTTATTTATTTTTTAGTAATGTGAGAAGGCTTGTGTATAAATAAGTGGGTTATTTATATATATATATATATATATATATATATATATATATATATATATATATATATCCCTTGAATGTAAACATTCTACCGATAATACACGTCAAAATTTCCATTTAACTTTTTGTTTACATTTTGCTTTACTTGCTACTTTGTCTTTACGAAAATGGTTCTATTTAGTTGAGAACTAAGTTTCTAAGTGTCACATATCGAGTTTGTAATAACAAGTCTTATGAGGTTATTCTTTGTAAGTACCTTCAAAATAAAGCTTTTTTTTTTTTTTTTAGAAAAAACATAGCTTGTATTGTATGCAAAGTTTTAACATACATACAATATAATGTGGTAACAAAAAGAAAGAGTTTTATGTTGAGGTGTCGGTAGCCATAAATATACAATCTTGGTTTTAAAAAGCGTAATGCGCTAAGTGAAAGCGCTCGCCTAGAGCATACGATGCGCCAAGAATTAAAAAAAAATATAAAAAAATATGTAAATACTTAAAAATAGTTTTAAATACTTAAAATATCCAAAAATCATGGTTTCATAGTAGTATCATATTAGATCCCAAATACTAATAAGTTATAACTAGAGATCGTCTAAACTATCATCATCTTCGTCGTCAACTTGGACAACACCACCTCCATCATCACTATAGACACTGATATCTTCTTCCACATCTTCATCTACCAAATGTCTATGAGATGGTTGAACGGTTGTTTTTCCCTTATTAATGCCCGATGTTCCGGTTCCATCATTTTGTACTCTTGATGCTCTAGTTCGATAACTAGGCTCATAAGCATCGGAGGCATGAGCTACATCTCTCCAAGTTAAATCTTCACCAACAAATATCGCCTCATCATCGGTCTCATCTTCCATTCCTCCCATCAACCACTTGTTGCTTTCATCAATCTCTTGTAGGATAAGGTGATCGTTCCCTTTGTCTTTTGCCCATCGCTCCAAGGACCGATTGAATTTGACAAACACCATGTCATTCAATCTCTCTTGTGCCGATCTATTTCGTTTCTTCGTATGAAGCTACAAGTAAGAAAATAAAGAAAGTAAGAACACAAAGCAGAATTTCTATAGAAAACAGATTTTCCAAAAATAATAAACAAATTCTAGTAAAAAAAACATATTTTCTGAAAAAAAAATAGCTTTTCTGTAAAATAGTATTTTTTCTGTAAAAAAAAATTATATAAAAAAAAAATTCCTGTAAAAAACAGATTAATTTGTAAAATCTAAAAAACATGTCAAAAAGACTTACATGTTGAAAAACAATCCAATTTCTTTCACAACTTGTAGCACTACAAGTGAGGCTAAGAACCTTTATAGCAAAAAATTTTAGATTAGGAAGATCCATATGCTCCCCACCAATCAGCTATAAAAAACAAAAACAAAAACATAAAGTCAGATTATAAATTGAAATTTAGAAGAAAAAAATAAGTTCGAATTTACCTGGTGATTTTGTCTCTCTATGTCTAACAGTCATAGGATTACCAAAGAGTCCTTGTGCATTCCGATATTTGTCCAACTCTTCCGAAATCTTGTCTTGAACTTGTTACTCGGGAACAAGCCTCATAATGCAATCATACAAACCTTTTTCCACTTCTTCACAAGCTACCCCACTAACATCTTTATAAAAGATTCCTGGGTTCAAGAAGTGTCCCGCTGCATGCAAAGGTCTATGTAATTGACATTCCCACCTTCGATCTATAATTTCAAAAGTTGTCTTGTAGTCATCCGGTCTTGAAAAGCTATCACAAATGGCCTCCTTAGCCTTATCCATGGCCTCATAAATGAAGCCCATAGCCGAATATTTTTCTCCATCAACACTCCTAAGAACTGTAACTAGGGGACCCGTCAACTTAAGAGCATAATACATATTTCTCCAAAACATGTCTTGCATAAAGTAGGTTTTTACTTTTACCCCGTCCCGTCTGAAGACCACTTAGATGCTTCCCACTCTTTAGAAACCACCATATTCCTCAAATTGGCTCTCTGTTTGTGGATTTGGGCAAAAGTGATGAAAGATGTTGCAAATCTTGTGATAGCCGGCCTATGTAAGTTTCTTTGGTTTGTGAACTTTCTCATCATGTTCACAAGAGGCACATGGCTATATATATACCCAATTGCAAAAATCGACTTCTTTAATGCACTTTTCACCTTTGGAACTTGTTTGCCAATATCTTCCAACATCAAATCTAGGCAATGTGCGACTCATGGTGTCCAATATAGATTTGGTAGCTTCCAACAACTTCCCTACAAAGTCCACACATAAAAAGTAGTTGAAATTAGACAAGATATTAGCCTTCATAAAATATAAGATATTAAGTTTGAAAGTTAAAAATTTTACCCGCCTTCACATACGCTGATGCATTATCGGTCACCACTTGTACCACATTCTTTTCACCAATTTCCTCCACCATTTTATCAAGAACACGGAACAACAAGTCTGCATCTTTTGAAACATCGGAAGCATCAAGTGACCTCTTGAATACCGAACCCTTTGGGGAGTTCACCATGAAGTTGATGATGTCTTTTTGCACCACGAAATCGCGCCATCCATCGGATAATATAGAGCAACCTTTTTCAGCCCATTATTCTTCATGCTCCAAAAGCTGTTTTTGAACATCTTTTACTTCGTTATTCAGTATAGGCACTCTTAACTCATACATAGATGGTGGTTTCAACTCGGGACCAAAGTGTCCAATAGCTTCAATCATAATTTTGAAGCTATCATACGTCGCAGCATTGAAAGGAATGCCCGCATCGAAAAACCATCTCCCAATGTGACGACAAACTTTATCTCTAAGGTCCTTTCGATAAACTTCATTGATGGTTTGTTGTTTCCCATCCTTCTTCTTACCTTTCATTACGTCTTGTGGGTTAGGAGTATAGTACATATCAATTTGACCTTTTGTTCTTGGTTTTTTAGGAGGGGGCATCTTGCTACTACCACCTACTTCAATAACATCTTCCTCCTCATTTTCAATGCCCTCATATCCATAAGCTTGTTGTTGCATCCGAAAATTTGCTTCCATATGTTGTTGTGCCTTTATTTCACCCTTCTTTTGCATGTATGCCCTACATTCTTCTCGAACATGCTCCGGGCAATTTGGGCATTTCATTGCGTCTTTATGACCACCAATTAAGTGTATTTTGAGGCGGTATACTCCTCCTTTCGTAACTTGTCCACAAAAAGTGCACGTAAAATTGTTTTTATTATTTGGATCTTGAACACCATATCTCCTACCCGGGTCATCCGAAACCATTCTGTAAATAGTAACAAAACCAAAGTTAAGTAACAATTAATTAATAGTTTAACAGTTAAAACACTTAATTGTCACTTTATTTAACAAATAACAATTTAACAACACATATACAGTCATACAAATTACATATTTACAACATTAATACATTTACAGATTACATCATAATCATTATATATAATTTATATATAATATATCATATATGATATTATGAAGAAAGAGCACATCAGATTAAAAAATATGTCACAATCGTGATAACATGAAAGAGATGTAACTGGAAACAAACATGATACATTAAACAATAATTTATATTAAAAAGTAAGTTATATACAGGGGGAAAGAAAGATCAAAAGAGATGTATAATTGTATATAACACTTTCTGCATTAGTAAATAACATATTATATAATATATAATAGTAGTTACTGTTACTCTGTTTTTGTTACATTCGTGATCATGAATCAGGATTCGTGAATGCATAATGAAAATGTAACACCGTAAATTTCAAAGCAATTTTTTTTTTCAAAATTTATAAAATATATAATTACATTTAATATTCGGAAAAACAATCACATTCAAATATTTAATCCAAGTATTACAAAATCCCAAGATCTCAAATGCATAAACTCCATGCGTGTGTACGGATCAAGCCGTCGCCTTCCCGCGGTCGTCACTAGTACCTGAAACAATAACATCAAACATTGTAAGCACAAAGCTTAGTGAGTTCCCCAAAATACCACATATAACACATATTAGCCACTCGAGGCTATAACTCTGTGGGTCCGTTCACCCAAACTCTGTGAACCCTCAGGTTCTAACTCTATAAACATGCA